AAACAGAAGCCCTAAACAAACCCCCTAAATACTGTTCCAACCCAAAAGCCGCCCGCAGCCAATACTAACCTTCCCTTTCGAAACTCTAGCCAGCCTAAACCCAGCAAAAAAGCCCGCCCGAAAGAAACCCAAGCCACACCCAAGCCCACCCTGAGGAATCCTTGAAACCCCTGTCTAAATCAAAGCTTCTAGTGATTGTGGAAAACGATGCTGGGGATGTTGACGGTGCTTGTGTAAAGGGATGCATGTGGTTTGTAAATGGACGCCATTTTAGCGCCTGCCGAAAGGTCATGGCGGACTACAAGCACCGCCTGCGGACCATTGACTCCGCCGTCGCCGAGGCATGGCAGTCCGAACGAGTCGCGTCTACCCAGACCCTTCCGTCGGCTGCATTCTCGTTGTTTTCTCGAGTTATTTGGAATGGGTTTGATGTTTGTTCAGCTGCGTGTCTTCGGCTTTTGTTGGATGGCTTGGTTTCCCACCCACCAAGAAAAGGGTCTAAACTGGAAGCTCCCCTCAAACACCGCAAATAACGACCAAGAAGGGGAAGGCTCACATTTCGCCTTCTGAAAGAAGAATTCCAGAAGCTCCCAGAAGGCCGCTGCAAATGAAACTAAAGCTTCCGAAAGTGTTCGATTGGAGCTTCCAATCGGGGGACTTCTTGATTCCAGCAAGAGCGCAAGGAGGTAAACCGAGCTCACTCATCAAAAAAAGGTCTCCCGTATTTCTGGTTTTCGGGTGTTCTTTTCTCGACTATCATGAAGGTGATGGTTCAAAGCCAGGCTTCCCGTCTTTGAATTTCTCTTGAGCCGGGCGGATCCTTACGGCCCCGCGTGCCCAGAGCGCTGCTTTGGAGGAGGCTCAGGAGGCCCAGGCGCGGGAGGGCGGACGGATTCTTGCCGCGAGACGTTTGCCACGTGTGGGCGTGAGAACCACCGTTCACATGTGGCCATGGGTCAGTCGTATCCTATGCCTCCGGATGAACACCCATGTACCACCCATTTTGATGTTCACCAGGGTACAGTGTGATGACTCGCGGCCATGTGGGTTTTCTTTCTGCAGCAGGGGAGGGGGCCAAAGGCAAAGCCCAGTAGATTGCCCACGGAGAGATGCCCAAGCAAAGACAGCAAAGACATTCCATTGGGGAGTGACGTGGGGGGACGAAACCGGGGGGGCCTCCCAATGTACGCATGACCATAGAAGGGTATAGCATTTTTGTTTGAACCGTGGCACTTGAAAAGTTGCTGCGATGCTCATCCCAAACCACCCCCGCAATGCAACCCCTGGTGGGAATCCCCAGAGAACCTAGGATTACAATTGGGAGGACCATTTTTTTTAGGATTTTTGTTTTTCTTTTTTTTTTAGGAATTATTTTTGTTTTTCAGGGTAGGGTGGGTGGCTTTTCGGCTTTTTGGCTTTTGTGGCTTTTACGTGGGTTTTTGTGGCTTTTGTGGCTTTTCATTTCGCATCCGCTGGCTTTTTGGCTTTGTGGCTTTTGGCGGCTTTCTGGCTTTGGCTTTTTGCATCCTCTGCTTTCCCGTTTTTGGCCTTGGCTTCCTGCATCCTCAGCATCGCAAGTTCCTCTCTGGTGCCCCCCGCCACCCCCCTTTCGATTAAAATGCACGCCTAATTGAATCATCACTTTTTCGATCATCATGCGACAGCTGCTTTTTAGATTCTTTGGCTGCCGTTTTACAGGGATTAGTTTGCCCGTATTTGAATCCTCACTTTTACCATGAGGCCTTGGCGCAGAGGCACTGATTCCCCCCCCGCTGTTTTTTTTTAAATATTTTTTTTTGGCCCATTGAATCATCACTTTTTTCAATCATCGGTAGGGGCTGCCGCCCCCCCCAAATCCTCTAGGCGATTTTTTGGACTTTTGCCCCTAATTGAATCATCACTTTTTCGATCATCATGCGACCGCTACTTTTTAGATTCTTTGCCCCCTAATTTTTCGATCATCATGGGGCTGCCGCCCCCCAAACTTCCGCTATTTTTTAGATTTTTGCCCCTGATTGAACCATCATTTTCGATCTACAGGGATGAGTTTGCCCGTATTTTAATCCTCACTTGTACCATGAGGCCTTGCCGCAGAGGAACTGATGACCCCCCCCGCTGCTTTTTTAACATATTTTTGGCCCTAATTGAATCATCACTTTTTCAATCATCGTGGGGGGGGCTGCCGCCCCCCCCCAACCCCCCCGCTATTTTTTGGACTTTGTGCCCCTAATTGAATCATCATTTTTTCGATCATCATGCGACCGCTACTTTTTAGATTCTTTGCCCCTAATTGTTCGATCATCATGGGGGGGGCTGCCGCCCCCCCCAACCCCCCCGCTATTTTTTAGACTTTTTGCCCCTGATTGAATCATCACTTTCTCGATCTGCAGGGATTAGTTTGCCCGTATTTGAACCCTCACTTGTACCATGAGGCCTTGGCGCAGAGGCTCTCATGCCCCCCCCGCTGCTTGTTTATATTTTTTTGGCCCTATTTGAATCA